GCTTAGAACAATGTCGCAGACAACAGGGATACTGAGAATACCACTTCTGGGAAGAGCATTGCGGCCGAGGGAGGGGTACGGGGGGTACGAGTTGTGTTTTGATCCCGAGAGAGCCGTGTATGTGCAGAGCATTGCGGCCGAGGGAGGGGTACGGGTTGGCAACCTGGGAGAGGGGGGGGTACAAGTTGTGTTTTGCTCCCGAGAGAACCGCGTATGGGCAGAACATTGCGGCCGAGAGAGGGGTACGGGTTGGCAACCTGGGGGAGGGGGGGGTACGAGTTGTGTTTTGCTCCCGAGAGAACCGGGTATGGGCAGAGCATTGTGGCCGAGGGAGGGGTACGGACGAGTTGCAAGCACAGCCACGGATAGAGAGTTACGGCTGTTGTTCCATAGCCAAAAATCACGGATAGAGCGTCAAGGGTGCTGTTCGTTCGCCAATGATCCCGAGAATCCTCTGTATATGGTCATCAGGATTGTGACCGGTGGCGCGGATAGAGGGTCTGTCCGTCGCCGAAGAATAATAGGTGCTGGAAATGCTTTAAAGCACATGTGCGCTGGAATCCAAAAGTGGCCGTCAGCTTTTAAAGCGCAGGTGGTGCGATGAAAACAGGAGGATGCGGGAAAGACCGAGAACGTGTGATCTTTGAGAGAAGGAGCAGAGTTTGCAGTGCGGTGCGGCTCGGTAGGAGAGATCGACGAGCGGAGGGAGAACAGCTTTTAACCAAACTCGAAAGGAAGAGAGCTGAGAAGCGCAGAAGGATTGAGCGGTATTTTTGCGGATTTTTTTCGGGTTCGTGTTCGGGCTCGCAAAAGATTTGGAAGAAGGATTTTTGGGGCGCGAGGGGGTTGTGCGAGGATTCGAGAACGAGAGTCCACCTTTTTCTTTGTCAGCAACCTTTAAGGTGCGGGCGCGTTAAAGAGAGTCGGAGAGAGAGAGAATGCGAGGGGCGAGAGAGAGGAGAAAGAAAGAAGAAGTTCTTCTTTCTTTAACGATGCGAGAGGTTAAAGGGTTTTAGGGGAAGATTTTGCAGACAGGGGAAACAGGGGGCCCTTGGGGAGGTCTGGGCGCAGGTGAGGTGGGCCCTGGGTCCAGGGCCGGGGATCAGAAGGGTAGAGGAATCAAGCCCCAGCGCCGCTTCCAGATTCGTCGTAGCAAGCGCCATGGCGGTGGGGTAGTCGAGTGTGGCGTTGGCGTCTAGCGCAGCCTGCGCGTTAGAGAGAGAAAGTTCAAAATGAGGATGAGGAATTTGCGAAGTGAGAGCACGGACCCAAGCAACTTCGAACCGGGCATTGCGCGCGTCGTAGTCAGACGTAACGCCCAGCGCAACGTTGACGCCGTGCTCGAGCAGCGTCATAACAGACGTTTTACGCGAAAGCGGTGGACCAGGCAGGCTATCGCAGGCAAAAGAAGGATCAATTCAAATTCAGCATAGAAGGCTTGAAACGCACATGCGACGATAATCCCAGGTCTCTGGGTACGGCCTTGCTGGCGCCAATATAACACTAACGCGGGCAGCACCGATGTGTGACGCGAGGAGATGCGCCTCAGTAGCACCCGCGAAGGTTATGCGCAAGCTGTCGCCGTGAACTGCGTCAAATTCTGATTTGAGAACGAGCAGCGTCGCCATGATGTCCGCATTGTGGACCGTAACGACAAGGGGTATCTCGCCCTGGAGATTTGACTCGTGAGCAACGAATCCGTCATTGGTAGAAAAAAAAACGAGACAAAGGAAACGAGGCTGATATACGCACCCTCTGAATCCGCCCCCACGGTCCATTTTTCTGCTTGGTGAACAGCAAGTTACGCAGCGCTGCAATCTGCGTGCTCACGCTGGCCACCATCTCAGAATTGACTGCGACGTGCAGCGCCGTCTCAGCCTGCACAATTGCACCTTCCTCCAGCGCATTTCGTGCGCCAGTAGCAAAAGCCGTTGCGAGGCCGCGGAGAAACCCGCGGCCCATCGGTGCAACGACGGCGGTGGTAACACCGGCGCGGTATGCATACCTATTTTCATAAACCCGGTTAGTACCACAAGGGCAAAGGGGAAACACACAGATAAGAACGCACAGTGTATTTCTCCCTCCGAATTGCAACCCATCCGCCGCCCGCACGACAGTGTCTCCCAGAATCCTCGGTACGCCGCCTGTAAGGGGATCGAAGACGCGCCCGTCCGTCGTCGAGCTCTCCAGCATAATCTCGCTTAACCCGAGGTCCGACCCGAATGTCGTTAGCCCCGGCGCAAGCTCGCCACCCTTCAGGTCCACAACCTTCGCGCCAGCAACAGCCACATTGGACATACACACGGTGTGCTCAGTTGAGTCAACACAGCGCACGGCTCCGCCCTCGACAAGCACGCGCCAGGGGCCTCCTCGTGCGTCCCCTTCCCCATCCCTGCGCCGTTTCTCGACCATACCCGGGACACATTAACAAACAGCACCCGCCCGGACTCAGTCCTCCCCTCAAGCGGCGGCAAGCCCTCATACCTAATCGTCTGGGCGATCTCCTCCTCCCAGCGCGGTGTGCGCGGCACCTCCTGGAAGGCGTGCGGCTTGGATAGCAGCGCGGGCGATTCGAGCTGCGGGATGCCGTCAATGTACACCTGCACGGGCGTCGCGCCGAGCGCGAGCGGGTGCGAGTCCCAGATTACGAGGTCTACGGGAGTAAGTATTGTTGGTTAATACTTGGAAGTTTTGTATACATTGAGGTTTGATGATTCACCTGCATCAAATCCTGCACGCGCGTCAGTAAGACCAATGCCAAAAAAAAAACGAACTAGCAGATACCAGCAGCGAGCATCCCAACCCTCCACCCGACCCCGAGCGCAGTGGCCGGAGTAGAGGTAACAGATGCGAGCGCAAGCGCAGGGTTCAGCCCGTAATAGTGCGCCTGCTGCGCTTCGTACATGAGATGCCGCGAGTTGAGTACGGGGTGGTCGGACTGTGGAGAGGGTTATCATTATTGGAAGGCAACGATCTCGGATGAAGTAAAAAGTGAATGAGAAATTGCAAGAATAAGAACAGAGAAAATGATAAGTAATGGAGGAATAAAAGTACCTTCATGACCACTGGCAGCCCATTATCCGCGAGAATCCTCGGCGCGAACTCGGAGCCGCGGTACGCCTCGCGCTTTTTCCTGTCAACCACAACTCTCAGTACTCAATCCAATTGAAACATAGAAAACGGTGGTCGGGAATCGAGAGTGAAACATACCGGAAGTTGGAAGCAAAGAGTGCGATCGCGGGGATGCCGCCCTATAAGCACCGGACGTCAAGATCTGCTAGGGTGGACGGCAAACGAAATGTGAACATACCCACGCCTTTTTCAGTAGATTGGGTACGAGATAAGTCTCCCCCGCGTGGTGGATGGACGCGATAGGGAATTTGAATTCGTTAGAAAGCTGCGAGTTCATTCAGGCGCGAAATAATAGGGAACGAAAGAGAGTGAACCCGAATCAGCTGGTCCAGATCCACGGCCTACAAAATGTGTCTCGACAACCAAGTGAATTGAAAGCCCATCGACACATACCTCGTAGCAATGCACCGACAGCTAAAACCCAATGAACACGCGGAGAACACATGAAACAACAAGACACACCTTGACTCGCCCTCTCAACACATCCACCAGCGCCTCCCACTGCAGGCTCTCCGGGAACGCAGTCTTGCCGTCCCAAAGCCCCGCCTCGGCGCGCGCGCAGAACACATCTTGCGCATCGCGGATCTTGCGCGCGGCGTCGTACGCGGTGCGGAACTCCCAGGCGCTGTCCATGCGGGTCTGTGAGTACACGCGGGAGGGGTTCTCGCCGCATGCGTGTCTGTCAAGGTCAATCAGCCCTGATCAAAGTCTCAAAGAAAATAAACCGGCGTACTTCATGTGTCGCCATTTCGGGCGCGTGTCGGACGCGTTGAGGCCAAGCGTGAGCGGCGGCTCGAGGAGCATTGCAGATGCAGAGCGTTCTGCAGTGGGTCGAAGTTTTATTAGGAAGGCCTGTCCGCCTGGATGTAATCAGCCACTTTTTTTGCGTGATGATTTATGTGGGAAGCACACCGATATTGTTCGCGCTGCCAGGTAAAACCTGCGCCGTCGTCACTCCACCGGCGATAGCCAATCTGTATGCATCGTCGTGGGTGTTCAACCCATCAAGACTCCGCAGCCATGGCAGAATCGGGGCTTTATGAGAGTTGCCATCCGACGCCTCTGCACCACCGGTAAGCTCAAACGCGCAATGCTGAATCTGAAACTCACCCTCCAGTGCCGGCGCAGAGTACACCCCCAGATGCGAATGTGCATCCACGATACCCGGCGACACCCATTTCCCGTCCGCATCAATGATCTGAAGGTTCGCGCGCTGGCGCAGCGCACTCGGAATGTACCCCACGCCGAGGACGACGCCATTGTCGAGCAGGATGTCGCCATAGACGACCTCAGTGCCGTTGCGCGCGCCAGTGAGAATTTTCGCGTTCCGGATAAGCACGGGCGGCGTGCCCTCGACGAAGCGGTCTGAGCCCTGCGTGGCGCGCGACGCGATAAAGTCGGGCGTGGGTTCCAGTGGGGCTTGCAGAGCGAGTCATTGCGGCGGGAGTGAGCTGGCGCGTGAGCGGCGGTCTTGCGGCCAGTAGACGGTGAGAAGGAAGCACACCGAGATCTAATTAGTTTTGGTACAGCCGTAGTTCATGCCAAAACCTGTCCGGGAAATTTCCTGTTGGTCCGGAAGATGCCGAGCCAATAGGAAAATCCGCGGACAGGTTTTGGTACCAACTTCGGCTTGACCAAAACTCAACAGATCTCGGTGTGAAGGCCGCTACAATCGCGGCCCTTGCCTTCGGATATCGACGTCATGGCGGGAAGATGGCCAGCAAAGCACGGCAACGGGCCTAGTGACGGTCCGGGCGGGCCCGATCGCGCCGACTATTTTTGAGGGTCCAACCGCCCAACAACAAGTATTAACGCGACGCGACCACGAGACCCGGAGACCCAGCAAAGTAAACGGGGAGTAAAAGTGTAGGCCTGGCCCTGAATCGAACAGGGCGTTCCCTCGGAAATTGCTGTTTCTTGAAACTATATATTGAGAAGGATGTGTTGCCTCTACACCACCAGGCCGTACCAACAACCGTTCATTCCGAACACGCGGGGCGTTGGTCATTCCAATTCTCGCAAACAAATTACCGACAGCGTCTGCCTAAACTGTCGTCTACCCTGATTGTCCTACCGACTCCGTGCCCGTGGATCCACAGTGCCACGAGGCGTATGAAAACCCCGAACGTTAGGAATTTACTGATTTGCGCCGAATATTTCCTACCGCGGGGTAGGAGTTACAGATGAGACGTGCCTGAATGTGGTGGAGCATAGAGGAGATTTGAGAACGTTCCAGGAGACACGCTGAGCTCGACGTGCGTGAAAACGACGATGGAGAGAAGAGAAGCACAAATGATCGCCGACACACAGCCACGCGCCTCTTCCTTCCTGCCACCACAACGTCTGGACTCTGGCGTCGACCTGCGCTACTGCGTCATGCTACACCTTGCTCATCCTTCCAGGGTATTCTCTCCGCTCTGCGCGCTAGCATCCATAAGCCGATCGAATCTCAAGCCCACTGGGTGGTATCCCGTATTGAAGCCAAAAAATCGGCGTCGGAACGCTGTGGGTTAGATGCGATAAAAGACTGGATCTGGACGTTTACTTGGTGCGTTTCTCAATTCTTCTGTAGCTACTCTTTCCGCACGTTTTCCGGAGCTAACTGTCCTTGTACAGATCCTCGCTCCGAACGATGTCGCCCTCATTGTCGCACCCTGCCGCCCCCGCGAAGCCCCAATCGCCCACACAAGGTGCGTTGCGTTTCTTACCGCGTGATATCTTGCTTTTCGTGGCGGAAAGCTGCAGGACATCGGTATCGTCGTACGACAATATAACGCGCACCGCAGGGCGGGTTATTGACCTCCCTTCCTGCTCACACTCTCGCTTTGAGCTTCCTCCCGTTCTGCCTCTGTCCTCCTCTGCAAAAGCGCCTGCAGACACTCTCCTCCTCCTCCAGGATCGACACTGTCAACGACGAGCGCCTCCGCCGTATCCTCGCCCCTCAGACGCGGCAGGCTGGATTACAGCGGGTGCGTATTCTCCCTATTCGTCTTTTTCTCTCCAGAGCAAATCTGAGGACGGAGCGCCGGCGTGTGCTCGGTATATAGACGGCGGCGTCATGCCAGCCTGAATATTCTCGTGCAGAGGACAACGTGGGGAGAGAGGCTGATCAATGTACTTAGATCGGCAGCTCCCTTCCCCTGCTCGTCCGTATGCCACATTCTCCCTCTCTCCTAGAGCCCGAGCGTTCTGTATCTTTTCGTGCCAGCGAGACTGCTTTGCATTTGTCACCGCGATCACGTCATCCTCTCCACCCTGTGCGCTGGCCGCATTCGACGATTTTGGCGAGCGGCGAGTGTGTTTGGAGGGTGGGTCACTTGGCGGGGATTGCGCCTTATGGTGTCGGGCCCGACCTCCTCGGCGTCGTTTCTCCCTATCTATGCCGTGGACGTTTGGAGCGGCGATTCGGGAGAACGACTTCGTCTTCACTTTCGTGGACAATGGCGGATGTGTCGATGGCAGAGCAATGCTTTTGTGTTCCCAACGTGGACGCTGCTGTGTACTGCGGTCGCCCTGACCACTGATTCGACCGCGCTTCATCTCTCTTCAATCTCCCAATCTTCATCATCTTCGACCCCTTACTGACATATGCCTCTTTCCTCAGAACGTCCACAACGCGCATGCGCCGCGCCCCGACGCATCCGTTCGCGCCATCTCCACGACCGTCGACGCCATCCTCCGCGCGCGCACAGCTGGGGGACTTGGTCCTTATCATGGAGGACGGATCGAGCGGGGAGGACGGGGAGGACGTGCGGAAGGACACCGACAACGCCAGCAGCAAGAACGAGACCGCGCCCGCATCGCCGGTGTCTGCGTTGCCAGAAGACTACCACAAACACCCCGCCGCTCGCGCCGCTCATTTGGCTTTGCGCGCGCGTTCGGGCCCGTTTACCAGATACGTTTCGCTAAGCCGGGCAACGAGGAGGCTGGGGAGAACGACGTTGACGACGCCGGCAACGAGAACGAGGGCGACGCATCCACGCATCACCCGTGTGCCACAAGTACCACCAGCAGCAGCAAGTCGCTGGCTCCGCCCCGCTCCTTCCGCCGCATTCTGTAGCACCGCCCGCGTCTGTCAACGGCGGCGCCCTTCACGCCGTCGCCCTCGCCCTCGTTCCCCGTGAACGGGCCCGCGACATTGTCGTCGAGCGGGGACGTGATATCCGTGCATGCCCGGCTGAGCTGCCCATTCGCCGCCCGCACCCATTCACGGGCAGGGTCCCGACGTCCGCTCCGCCTGCCGCTTACCCGCGCCCTCCCCGCCGTCGACCTCATACACGGACAGAGCTGCGTGTGCGGCTGGTGGTGATGCGCTTCCACCACCCGCACTTCGCGTTTGGGTCGCTTCACGCCGCCGTCTTCCCGTGCAAGCTCCTCATCGGGCGGGTGGAACGGGCCTTTGACGTAGCCGCCTCGCGCGCGCGCGATGCGGAGATGCGTGCCCTCGCCCGTAGCCATCTGCGCTTGAAGCAACCTCCCCAGCCAATACCGTGCCAATAACGTTTTCGACCGAGGGCTCGGTCTGTGCGCGCGCCGCGGTGTGGATGTACGTGCACCAGTGGGAACGCGCCCGCGCGTCGGGCGGCTTCTTCCCCCGTCATTGCCCTCCTCCGCGAGCTCCGTCTTAGACGGGCAGCATTTTGGGTGGGCTCGATCCGCGTGCACGCTGCTGCACCCACGCACTTTCCGTTCGCGGCGGCCGTCGCCCTCTTGGGGCTGCGACGTCGCTGTCCAGCGCGGGGGCGATGAGCGGCGCTCGCATGCCATCGCGGCGTCGAGGATGCATCGACGCGACGCCGGCCTTAAGATGTTCCTCCCCACGCACACGCTGGGGCTGGCTTCGACGGGGCGCATAGCTGGTCGGCGGGAGGATGTGCATGCGTGGGCGAAGAACGGTCTTTCGCACCCCGTGCTCCGTCGGTGGCGGCGGCGCCGCAGCATGCGCTCTGGCTGCGGGAGATGTTAAAGCGGTAGCGATGGGATGGGAATGGCGCCTTGACGGTCGCCGCGGTGGCGGAGCAGTGCCCACCCACTGCGTGTGATGGTCTTGGGTGGGCAGCAAGCGCGCGCCCCCTTTTCTGTTACTCTCGGCCTTTGCTGCCCAGCGGGCGGTTCTTCTATTCGCTCGCACCGCAAAACATTTCACGCTGCAGACCCGCTCGCATCGCTACACCCCCGTTACGACGTACCCGCTCGATCACCGTCGGCGCACCGAACTCCATACTTGAATCATCTTACATTGTATTTACCTACGGTACTTCCTGCCTCCTGTCTTTCCTTTTACCGCAATCGCTCTTGCATATCGCATCTTTCTTCCTTTGTTCGACATATAGAAGTGTAGTTAATTAGTTCGCAGCGTAGTCTTAGCATGTAAGGGAACCTCTTAAGCTCAGCTCCATCAACCCTCAGCTCCCTCGACGTTGCTCCCCCATTCAGGAAGCCCAGTTGCGAAAATAGGTCCGCGCGGATTCCCTCGTCACCTTCTACCTTGGAAACTCAGTCGCATCGTTGGTGTATCGGGCAGGATTCCGCAGGAACTTCACGATTATTGGCGCCGAGGGGGAGGATGCATAGCGCCCCCAGGATTATTCGCTGGTGAGCACCGAATTCCAACGTTGACTGTGCTAGTGGAACGTCTGATTATGTGTTCGAGTTTTGGCCAGCAACCTGCAAATTTGGGCGTTTACGAGTTCAATGTCGGGAGGTCGCAGTTCGAAACGAGTATTTCAATCGTCCAGTAGGGTTTCTAAATAACCAAGTGTTCATACAAAATGGAATATAAGCGGTCGATGTTTTGCAACGATCTGGACAGGAATCTATAGCAGTTGATATTTTGCAACGATGCGGACGCTGGGGCACAATTGCGTTGGACGCCAGGTAGGCTGGGAAGTAAGAAGAGGACATGAACATAGAAGCGAAACCTGCCAATAATTTTCAACGAGAAATAATCGCGGAAATGGCGGAATGAACCTATTATCACTGTCAACTGCTGCGCGGTAGATGATGGATACTTGATGTATCTAGTAGGTCTAGTAAGCAGGCAAAAAGAAGGGCATCAGGAAAAGCAACTGGGCTCGAATGAATAATACTGCCTGCCCAGACGCCCGCGACAATAGTGTGGACCTGAGCGTAAGTCCTAGATATTGCAGACGCAAGGCTTTCGCGTTCGTTATTTGCGTGAACCGTGAATAGCGCCGTGGAATCAGGCTTTTTGAAATACAGTAGGGAGACTGCGTCACGTTGGAAGGAAAATTCGCAAAGTAAAGGTGGCATTGATAGAGCAGTAACGAACGTACGGGACGAAAGTAATTGAGAGACTGCTCAAACTCGCGCAGAAGGTGCTGATTGCGGGAAGTCCCACAAGCTGGACCTGAATCCAACAGATTATGAGCGGAGGGTATATAGTCTGGAATGAGCAGGAATGAACGCACCAATCTTTAAAACGAAATCGAATCCTCAGAGCTGCATACTTGACGAGGGTTTGGATCAATCTGGGGAAACTATCAACACAAAACGTCCGCGCTGCGCCGGCTTGAAGATCATATTGAGCATGTCAAGAATGGGGGGGACGACCTGCAATAATAGCGTAGTCGACTCGCGGACCACAGATTCGCCCACGAGAATGATGATCACCCCAATCGACCGAGTGCTGGGAGCGCTGAGATGCCTTTGATAGAGAGGCCCGAGCGATGGGGTTCCGCCTATCGACGCCGGGGTGCGCGACCGGAATATTTGTAGATTTCGTGACGAGCGTTGTAATGTGAATTTTGAGCTTGAGCGCGGCCGAAGACGTTGGCCAGAGGTCTGGAGAATATTCACCATCACTCCCAAGCTGGATCGCATCGTGCGGAATAATGCTAACGAATGGTCACGTTCCGGCTAGCGTGGAGGCGGTCGTAGGATGTATCCGCGAGAGAGAATCAACTAGATGACCGATTGATGCACCCAATCTAAGGCGCAAGTGG